TTGAAAGCTGGATATGACTACTTTCTCAAGTTTTATTTTTACTAAAATCCTGTGAGAAAAATACATCTAAATATAAGATAACATTGAACCTAAGTTGATAAAACCGTGACATTCAAAATATTTATGTGAATTTTCAAAATCTTTATAGAGATTTGAGTCTGAAATTAATTCTCTCTATCATAGCCATTTATCCAAATAACTAAAGCAAAGTGGCAGAGCTATGTTCCAGGAGTTTGGAATTTATTATCACAATCCGTTCAAATAATATCCGCCTCTTTTTTTTGCTTGACTTCAACATTTTCTTTGGTTAGAACTATTCAGATTATGGGGGCTATTTCAAACTCATGGTAAATATATTGGATGACAAGGAAATCTCTAGTGTCTTTAAATTTGTCTGTGCAAAGTACTTTTGAGTAATTTCTACTTAGTTTCTCAAGTATTAATTATTTCATGCAAAAAAGAGAAAGGCTATTAATCTTTGGGTATATTAATATGTCAGTATTTGGGAAAAGTATCATGCAACTAGTGGTTTGAATTTTCTATTTTATTTTATTTGGCTAGTTAAGTAAAAGGTAATGTTAAATACCGTGGAAGCATGTTTTATATAAATAAACTCATTTTGACTTGAAAAGATCTGATATCTGACCTTCATCTCAAGTTTTAGCAGATGAAAATGTCAGATACTTCTGTTCGATTAACAGAAGCCAAATGTCAAATGGAAAAATGATCATAAATTTTAATTCACTGGTTTCAGGAGGATAGATTTTGTAAAGATCAAAGCTTTGGTAGTGCCTATAACTGGCAAATTATTTTCATTATAAGGAGTTACAAATCACTCTATCAAAAATGGGAAGTTTTGTCCTAAGAAATGAAATGAACTAAATACAGTTTCAACTTTTGTGTGTGTGCGTGCTTAAAAAAAATCAAGTGATAGCGTTTTTCTTCAATAAAATCTGAAACCTCTTATAGTCAAGTAAACAGAACAGTGTATCTACGATGCTAGACTTTTTTTTTTTTTTTTCCTTTTTGTCCTTTTTCGTGTCCGGCAACGGATCGCAACCCTCAGTGTCGCGCCCGTACCAGACCGGGACTGGCAACGGGATCGCAACCCTCGGTGTCGCGTCCGCACCTCACTCAGCCAGTGAGCGGGAACCGGTCTGTATGTGGGATCTGAACCCTTGGCGGGAGCGCCGCCATGCTCCCAAGTGGCGCACTGTAGCAGTGCGCCACTGGGCCGGCCCCAGATGCTAGACTTTTTAATGAAACTTAGTTTAAAAGTTATAAGTTATAAAAATCTGTATACCTTACGGGCCTCTGTCTGCTACCCCATAATTAATGATTTGCTTGTTTGTGTTAAAAATAGCCAGAACTTAAAAAACTGTCACAATTTCAAAGTAGACCAATTTATAAGTCCATTGTCAATATGTAGTAGCTGGTTGTGAATGAAGGAGAATAAGATGAATTAAAGTTGAAAGGAAAAGATATCAAGTGCAAATGGAAGGTAAAGGAAAGTGGAGCAATAGTATATTGCTTTTGGTTATTCCATGTGTATTTGCTTTGCTTCATGAAACACCTGGATACTCATTGATTTCTAATGAAAGAAATAGTAAGGTAAAACTCCTGACTGGGCATTCTTAAATTCTGTCTAAGTCTTTAGATTATTTTCAGGATTATTAAAAAGAAGTTGTGGCTGGAGTTTTACAATAACTAATATTTTATAAAGTGTCTAAATATAGATATCTTTTTTTTCATATTTCTAAGACTGGCCTGAGATACCTTGGAGAACTACTTGATGGGGCAGAAATTTCATTCAATTTTACTGTTTTAACCTCACAGAATAAAATCTTTCTCTAAGATGACTCTGCGGTGATTGGCAGGCAGCTAAGGTTAATGGATTTTAGTTTTCATAATTCACCTTAAACCAAACTTCTATTTTAGGATACAAATATAGATTTACTGTGGTGAACCAACCAGAAAATACTAAATGATATTGATAATTACAGATGGTGAACCTGAGTTTTTATCCTACTGAATTTGTTTGGTTTGATGATGCTGGGCTATGGCACTCTTGATAATCATAACTAGATATTATGGTGTAACAACTTATTAATATGGGCACAGATAATGCAGGAAGCTTTTTATAAAAGCAACCCACAAATTGTATTCCTTTGAAATGAGCTGAAAACTCATTTACAGGAATGGCTACCAGGTCTTAGATATGTACCAAAAGAGTTATATTTATACATTTTTAAAGAGATTGAGGAGATTTATTCTTAAATTTTTTTGACAATGCCTTTTCTTGGTATGGTATTGACAGTGAAATTTTGCTCATTTGTAAATTTAGTGTCATAGTTTAATAATTTCAAATATATTGGAAATGAAAGATTTACTAATAGGTTGAGTACATTTTTCTTTTTACCAAATCTACAGGTTCTTTTCTTTCCATCCCCAGTGTCATTACTCTTGTCCTAAGCCTTTCAAGCATCTGACAGTTAGATATCTGCTTCAGTTGGCTCTTTCCAGCTGAGCTGATTGTTAAATATTCAGGACGTTTATGAGCTAGTTGTTAAACATAACTATTATTAAAAATTAAATTATTTAAACTTACAATTGAATAAATTACATTAAAGCAAACAGAATAAAAACTCAAAAGTTATTGCTTGCTGATTATTTTACATTTTCCTATTATCTATACTATTGAGGTTATTCGTGTTTATTGTATCTGAATGGTGTTATAATATGCAACTGCATATCTTTTCCCAACTCTGTATTCAATGATTTCATGTTTGGTAATTTGAAGTTGGTCATGGTAGTTTGAAGTTGGTCTTAGTGAGAGTATTTATACCACAGAAATTGGCAAACTCCATAAGTCAGTCTTTGTTTCTATTTTCTGGAAAAGGGATTGTTAAATATTTGCCAGCACACCACACACTGCCTGAAGTCTGCTAGCTTTTTTCCTCCCTGTTTTCAGGCTCTCCTCCCATCTGTCTGTCTAGCACAAACCATCATGTTTAATTTTCTTAAACAGGGAAAGCTGAACAAGGTAAAAGAAAGAATGAAGTCAGAAGAATATGGGAAATTCTAGGCTTTGCCATTTAGTAGTTCAGACAAGTTTAGCATCTCTGAGCCTCCATTTATCTATCCTTCACATAGGGCAGTGATTGTTCTTTGTCCTGCCTAATTAATAAGATTTGCAAATTAAAATCACAGTATGCTCATGTTTGTGAAAGTGCTATATACACACAATTTTTTGTGAGCAGTAAACACTTTACTTTTTGGCTTAAGTTTCCAAGGTTCATAACCTAAATTACATCCTAAATTGCTGTCCCAGAGTTTTCACAGACTAACTGCCACCTGTATTTCCAACTTTACCTTCTCATCTTTATGTCTAACACTGGATGGTGAGCAGCAGGTGAGTGTACCATCACTTTCTCAGATGTTGCCCACTGCAGACACTGCATTATCGTGACACTTCTTTTCTTGCTGTGTTCAGACTGACCTCAACTGTTTTCGTTATTGTTCTCTAGGCAAAAATACCAGTGGATGACACTGGGCAATGAAGACTAAACCTAATTATCACCCTTTGCTAAACAAGGCTCCTGTTAAAATGCAAATATTTCATGTTAATGGGAAAAAGTGACATATTAATCCATAGTCATTTATTAATATTTTAGCAAGAAATAATTGATGAAGTTACTTAGCCTTAGAGCTGGGCACTAATTCAGTTAAGTTTTAATGAAGGACAAGTTGTAGAGACAACAGGAACAGAGAGCAGGGACCTCCTGAAGAAGCTGGAGACCCAAGGGAGTGTAAAGAACAATCTGGACCCCTAGGGTGGGAGTGATGAGGGTGGAAGTGAAGCCAATTTGCAAAGTCTTGTACAGGAACAATATCAAAATGTTTGCATTTGGCCATAACATTTCCGCTTTTTATTCTGAATGGCTTGCTAGAATATTTTTCCTATTATAAGTTTATATTGCCTCTCAGATATTTCTAAAACACTACCTTTTGAATTAGGTGATTTAACATGCATTTTGAAACGTTACCAAATAAAGTCTCAACGACATCAAACTTTAGAATTCTCTGGAGAAAAGAAAGATACTAAGGGAAAAGCATAGGTTTGAGAATCACTAAATCAAGTTCAATTTCTTTTTTCAATAAATACATGACATTTCACCTGAGAAAGGTCTCATTCTCTCAAATTTCATTAGGAAATTTCTCTTTGTACTTTATTTACTTATTTTATTTCACAATTCTTTTCCCCCTCCCTCCTTTTCTTTTTCTTCCTTTTTAGATTTTCTCTTCTCTGTGAAATTTTTTGCTTTATCCATAATAGTTAGAAACAATGTATTTGACTACAACTGGGATATCATGCCTAGTTATTTCCCATGCCAGCTTCACTAATTTCCGTCATAAGCTATTATTTATTAGATGCCTAGAGGGCAGGTGTATGTAATTGATTTGGGTAAGGAGCAAAACATAAGAAAGTTATGATTCCCCCCACCTCGAGTAATGATTCAGAGATAATAATTAAGTCAACAAATTGATACAGACTATGTATTAACCCTCTAGCTATTGTTGGTTCCTTCAATAAATAGCTTATTGCGGAATACCTTGTACTACAGTAACAAGATATAGAGGAGCGTTAAATACCTGTCTTATCAGTCACAGTTCATTTCATGTTTGAAGTGGTAGAGACTGAACTTAAGCAATTTGTTATAAACATATTATGTGTATAGTTATTTGGGGGCAGTTTTTAAAAAAATTTTTGTTTATTTATTTATTTGAATTATTTAAATTTAGAATGTGTGGCAGTTTGTTTTTTCCTGGAGGAAGGATTGTGCCATCATTGCTGATCCCTTCTGACAAAGTGGCAGTTGCATTAGTTCCAAGGTTGTTGATGTTTTATAGAGGTGTATCCTATAAATATGAAGCCTGGTATTGATATAATTTAACTTATTTTATTCTCATATTTATGCATACATTTTTCCACACACCAGGAGATTTGAATCAGTATCATATTCCAAGTTTATATTGGAGATCAGATCAAGCAGATATTTATATCTGCCTGTCTTTTCTTTATTTTAGCTGGACCACACGAATTTTGAGGAAAGGGTACAGACAGCGCCTGGAATTGTCAGACATATACCAAATCCCACCTGCTGATTCTGCTGACAATCTGTCTGAAAAATTGGAAAGGTATGTCCATGCATGTTGTTTATTAGTTGAAAACAGAAATTCATAGTTTAACTATTTACAGAATAGAAAACTAACATATTTCCAGGCTTAATTCTTAAAGCGGAATATTTAAAAATAGAAATATCTTATTTTCCTGCTGAAGTCTTGACCAATTAGAGAATTAAACAATGGAATCATGTAAGAAAAATGATCACTTTCCTGAGAAATGACTTTTTTCCCCCTGAAAACTGCGTATTTGAATTCTGAGAATTTACCCATCTTAAAAGAACACGAAGTGGATTTTGTGAAGACTAACGTAACATCATTATGAAACAAATTATGCATATTTTCTTCCAAAATCTTAATATGTGAATACAAATGTTCTTCCTGGGAAATCTGAAGATAATGGCTCTTGGCTATCAAAGAAATATAAAATGTTTATGTTTTTGAGTGCCTATTACATGCCAGGTGTAGTATCTCCTCTCAGACACTCTGGGAGGAAAGCATTCATTATCTCCAGCCTACAGATGAGCAAACTGAGACTCAGGAAATGATGAACTTTGCCAGCTAATGAATGGTATAGCCGTGATTCCAAACCAGGTCTGTACTGCCCATCTCTCTAGTAACAGTGTTCCCCACTGTAAAGAATTTCTGAATGCCCTTTCCTAAGATTATTACTTAGGACCCTTTTGATTGCCAGTGACAGAACCCACTTAAGTAGTGTAAGTAAATAAAAAGGGGAATTTTTTGGCTCATGAAGTCTAAACTGTGTGAAAACCCAGGTGGAGAACTGGTCTTAGGAACTCAGTCGGATTAGGGACTCAAATGCCGTTTGCCTCGTGCTGGTTTTATTCTTTCATAAAAGCTTCCTCTGTGTAGTGGGTTCTCAGAACTCTTTACACATATCTTTACAGACCACAGAGGTAAGAGCCCTTTGTCCTTGGCCAAATATGAAAACTTGCAGAGACTCTTGAGTCACATGCTGACCCTTGGACCTATCACAGTCTGTGAATGAACTAGATTAGGTCTTGTGCCAGCAGCACAGGGTCTCATACCAAATGAAAGGCAGAGGGGGTGCAAAACAAAAAGAAAGAAAAGGAGCTACAAAATTACTGCACCAAAATTAAAAAGTTTAATAGACTTGAAATTTGTTTACCTTATTTTAATCAAATTCCTTTTTTTTTTTTGACATTTCAAGGCAAAGTAAGATATTAAGCCTTATTTTTAAAAATTTTATTGGCTAGTAGGTGTAGCAGATTCATACTTCCAAGATCAAGGGCCTGCTCCTATTAGTGAGCACTTGATGTGTGTAAGTGCCATACACACGGAGATATTTTACTTTTTCATTTTTGTTTTATTTGATCTGTTTTGTTTGTGATGTATTCCCAAGTGTCCAGATTAGGGCCTGGCATGTAGTACATACTCAATAAATATTTGTCAAACGAATGAATGGTTGAATGTGAAATGGCTGGTATTATATGGAAACCTATAACATTGCTGGAAGGATAAAATATATAGACATAATACATTGTAGGTATATCAGCAAGTTCAAAATAATATGGTAGATATTGAATATCTAAGTTTTAAATGGATGCTGAGGGAAAGATAAATCAGAGTAGGACTGAATTAATTGAAAAATGTATACTCTAGATATGTTTTTATTTATGGCCAAATAGAGGACGTACATCTGAATTTGCAGTGTTAATTTGGCCTAACATTTTTTTCTCCTGTTTACATTGTGCCCCCCCCCCCCACCATTTCAATTCACTTTGAACAATATACATACTTTGTTTCAATTCAACAACTCTATGCCAGCATAAGTCAATAAAGTCTCCTTCCTTCCTTCCTTGTCTCTCCTTTACCCTGTTATTCACTTCTTTTCTTACCAAGTTGGTATTTGGAATTTATGAAAACATTTGGAAGAGTGACACACCATTGATAGTACTTTGTATCTCTGCACTCTTGGGAAATGACCCTGGCCACACATTTCATAATTGTCTTGTGACCAAAGCCCTCAGGTGGTTGCCATGTGGTTGAGATACATTGGCTTATACTGCTCAATTTTGTGGCTGTCGGGCTGGATCCTCTACATCACTGTGGTGTGCAAACTGCACATCCATTCCATGATCGTAGCTAAGATATGAACTGTGTAAGTATAGAACTTCTCTCCTGATTTGGGCCTGTTCTGGTGCTACCAGAACCACACCATCTACTCTTGCTGCGAGCTGCTTCTCTCAGGCTACAAGTAGGTCAAATGCTACCCATTAAAAAATTCCCTAACCTTGCTTTCCCTCATATGACTACATTCTTTTTTTCTTTTTTCATAGCTAATATTTCTCTGCTCTCCTGGTCTCTAATTTGAAGTACGTTTTTCATTTCTACCATGTTCCGAAAACTACATTGACCAGGGTTACCAGAGACCTCTTATCAGATATAGTGACACCTTCCTACATTACTTCACTGTTGACTACTTCTTCACCTTGAAAACTTTTCTTTTTTTTTTTTTTCTTCTTCCCCTTTTTGTCTTTTTTCGTGACCGGCAATGGATCGCAACCCTCAGTGTCGCGCCCGTACCGGACTGGGACCGGCAACGGGATCACAACCCTCGGTGTTGTGCCCGCACCTCGCTCAGCCAGTGAGCGGCCGGTCTGTATGTGGGATCCGAACCCTCGGCGGGAGCGCCACCGCGCTCCCAAGTGGCGCACTGTAGCAGTGCACCACCGGGCCGGCCCGAAAACTTTTCTTTAGTTTATGTACCACCCCTGTTTCCTGGCTTTTCCATCTGACCCATTCCTCCTTTGATGGAGAGGGTGAATCTGCTCCACATTTATTCCTGACTTCTACTGTGAGTCGCTGAATGTTATGGATGGGAGGTAAGCTCTATGTGTATGAGTGAAAGGTGGGGAAGAGTGTGGGGAGGTAGATAGATGGGATAGGGTGCTTAGATATTATAGATAGACTCTAGTTAGCAAGCCTCTGGGTAAAGCCAAGGTCCATGCGCAGGGACTGCCAAGCTTGTCTTGAAATCTCAGTTGTGTATTCTTCCTTTGGAGTGACTTAGAACTTCATTTAGTGTGGTAATTTGATAGTAATGGGAATAACCACTGACAAAATGCAAAGTCTTTATCAAAGTCTTTGTCTAGTTCTTGCCTGTAGTTCATGAAATTTCTCATCTCTGCACAGTTTGAAAATTAAGATGAGGGTAACATTTAGAGATATTTTATTCTCCTATGATGAGAAAAAAAGGCTTTTATTAAGAGAGATCAGTGGCCATCACTAAAAATAAATACAATCAGCTGATGTTCTTTAGTATTTAAAAGAAAACAAGTTTATTAGATTTCAGCTATTTTTCAGATTATTTGATGTTTATTCTCACCAGCAAATATATAATTTGATCCTATTCTCATTTTTCAAAGACTTTCACTTAGTAAATGATTTTAGTAGCTGAAAATGAGATTCGATGATATTTATTTCATGCCAGTACTTTTTCTTTCTTCCTCAATTAAAAGCAGATTCATGCCTCTACTTTTAAAAACAAACTAATGGGTTTTTCTCATGTTAAATCACAGAAAAATCCATCCTGATATTTTAACTTGTTTTTGGTTTGACAGTTAAAGCTTGTAAAATTTGCCACAGTTCTAAACAGATAAAGATTAAGGCATGAGGGAAAAAATTAGTATATTTGTGTGTTTATTTTTCTCACCTTGTTCTAAGTATAACAATGTGTATTTATAACAGTTGCACTTTATTTGTTCACTCTTTTCATTGCTCTTAAGAAGCCCAGCACTTTTCTTTAACTCATACAATGTGGACTTTTCATGAAATCAACTGCCTGCAGAGTAATAGATAGTGGAGCATGGAATTCTGCCAAATATCTGGCTGAGTGGTTGGTGTTGGAGGGTCTCCACAAGGTTTTGTCTTGTTAATCACTTGGATTAATCTCTTTGGATATACTTGAACAAGTCGAGCTATGTTAAGGGAAACAGGACATCTCAAATATTTGCACATGCAATTTATTGGTCCCACTTTTTATTCTTTTGCAGAGAATGGGATAGAGAGCTGGCTTCAAAGAAAAATCCCAAACTCATTAATGCCCTTCGGCGATGCTTTTTCTGGAGATTTATGTTCTATGGAATCTTATTATATTTAGGGGTAAGGATCTCACTTGAAAATTCTTTATGGATAAGATAATTATATTTATTTTTGTGATTAGAGAAAGACTGGGGTAATCTGGTGAATAGGTATTAAAAGGTATAAAAGAGTAATCCAACTCCAAACACTGAGACCACCTAAAACTCCAGTAAAGACAAGTAAAAATCCTTTGGAACTAAGATATCCTGGAACCCAGGTGACAATTTACAACTTAAAATGGGTTTAGCAAAACAAATTACTTGTTTTAAAAAAATTATTATCTGTTATGATACATTGCAGATCATAATATCTTACTAGTACGTGAGATTACTGGTGCCTTTACTTTCTCAGATTCATCAGGAGAAAGTGAGGAGACAATGTTAGGAGAAGAATTTAGGTCAAATTCAGCCAGTTACACATATGAATGTTTGTAATATTTTGAAATCATATTTGCATGCTGAATTGTTTTAAAGAAAAATAGCAAAATTTAAAAATTTGTCAGCAAGCGACTTTTGCAATATATTTTTTCAGTATCCTACATCTTCATCAGTGTGAAGAGAGGGGCACACCTGAAAGCCCAGGCTTTGTGGTGTTTAAGTACCCTGGGTGTTCCTCTGCTGTCGTATGTGCCTCTGCTTTATTATTTTCTGCATCATCAGAGCATAATTCGGAATCCTTGGTTGTAAACTGTAAAGGGTGACAAGTTGAAACTTCAGTCTTCAAGTAAAGGTGTGCCCATCATTTGCTTTGGAATGTGACATACCATATGGACTGACTTGTATTGTATTCATATTGGTCTTTATGCCTCAGGAAGTTAGCAGTGCCTCTGTGTCTCCCAAAGAAATGCCACATGAGTTGCATTGCTTTAATTGTTCATACACCCCATGAAAAATACATTTAAAAATTTATTTTGACAAAGATGATTACAATTAGGTCCAGAATGTTTCCTAATGCTTTTGCTAATTTCCTGGAAGAAATTCTTCTGGCTCTTGAAATAATTTATATATACATGTTTATGGAATATATATATTCTTATAGATATCTCCAACAGTGTGTAGGTCAAAGTATTTTATTAGCAAATTTGAATAAGGTAGCCAAAGAATTAAGTCTCTTTCAAGATATCTTTGAGATTATTTTTCTCAGTGAGAGTACCCAGAGCTTTGGGAAACAATTTTATTCATAGCTTCTGGCTCTATTTTGACTTAATTTTTAGAGAATATGTTTTGTTGGTTGTTTTGAATCAGTGTGTAGAAGTGCAATTCACTCTGGTCATATATAAGGATGTAACATTCTCAATAAATGTTGCATTGAAGTGAATGATATTTCAAACAATTGTTATGTCATGCCAAAGATTTCAGTGAAACTCAAAATTTTCCCTGGTCATGTTCTCCATCTCACTCTGCTTCTACTGATTAACATAAGCTCTAATGAGTTGAAACTAAGAGGTCAACTGATTAGCCCCCTTTTATGCTCTGCTTGGCTTGTAAAATAACTTATTCCTCTAGATTCCACCAACTTAGAAGTTTCATGTGAACAAAAACACCACCTAAATGTGAAAGGTTGTGTGATACATGGACATATTTATAGGATTTATTTTTTGGTCTTGTGTACACCAAAAAATAAACATGATATAGGACAGTACCTAATCTGTTCCAGTTCAGTATTAAGACCTTTATGGAAATTATTTCTTTAGATGTTCCTAGTAACTCCATGGGGCAGAAGTTATTATCTCTAATTTATAAATTAGGACATTGAGCTGCAGGGAAATTAAGCAACTTTCCCAAAGTCTCACATATGATAAATTTGAGTGATACCCAGTCTCTTTAGTTCCAAAGAGTATAACCCTTCTACCATACCCGATTATGATTGCTATGTAATTATATTTATAATGATTGTATTTAGGTACTCAACAGAATGGTGACTCTAGTAACCAGCCTTGGTTCTGCTGAGCTTCTCTACATCTTCTCAGGAGACACAAGCTACAGAAGCTCGAAGGTTGAGGATTCTTCCAGGGTCACTTCAGGGGCAAATCTGGAGAAAGTTCACAGCAGGTAGCAGGACAAAGGAACCAACCAGAATCTTCTCACTTATTTATATCTGGGGAAGGAACTGTGTGTAATCCACCCAAGAGCCAGTAGTGCTAAAGGTCAAACCTATAGACAAAATTAAGGGATAGGAGACTGGAGTAGATGTGAAGACAAATTAAGATGTTCTTAAACTTCTCAAGATTAAAAATATCCCAGCTAAAGAGATCTTAAAGCTTTTCATGGTGTATTAATTATCCATGGGTGGGGGTGAGGGGAGAGGCAGTTCAGAGCTAACCTGAGTCCTAGGCTACAGCTCTTGGACCAGCAGCACGTTTGAAGGGCAGTCTATTTCCACCAGCTGAACTCCTACTGATAACGAAAAGAACATTGGTGAGGAAAGAACCCCCATGGGAAAAAGCAGCTGAAAGGTGTATGATGAGAAGGCATAGAGGGGAAAATTTACATTGGGAATGGCACAAGTGTGGTGAGGCTGTAAGTTTTCACCCTGTCACAGAGAAAAGGCATTGCAGAGGCCATGCAGTTTTAAGTAGTTAAAATGTTGAAAACTGTAAGTCTCAAAGAATTTAGATAACCTCAGTGGTTATTTAGATGAGTGCAGTTTTTCAGAGCTACGATCTCTTGACTTCTTCCTTTTTGTCTTCCTTATAGAAAGAAAAGGAGAGAAAATCTAGCCAGTATAAGACCTCTGTCCTTTTAAAATAACTTGCATCAATGCCTTACTATATATAGTAATCTTTCTGGACATTCCTTGTTTCCATTAAATGAGCAGGAATTCTTGAAATTGCTCTAATACTAATCTTAGAAACAGATGGACATACTTTCAGAATGTCTATACATTCTTTTTTTTTTTTTCCTTTTCGTCTTAACGGGATTGCAACCCTTGGTGTTGCGCCTGCACCGGGGACCGGCAACGGGATCGCAACCCTCGGTGTTGCGCCCGCACTGCACTCAACCAGTGAGCGAGAACCGGTCTCCACATGGGATCCGAACCCTCGGCGGGAGCGCCACAGCACTCCCAGGCGGCGCACTCTCCAGTGCGCCACCAGGCGGGCCCAAGAATGTCTATACATTCTTAGTCCCTCTAAATCAAGACAATTGTGCTATAAAAAATATTTGGCTGATTTCCAGACTAATAGAAAGAAGTACTATAAAATTTGCTCTAAACTGTGAAAGGTTAAGATAAAGGCGGCTGAGCCCATGGCGCACTTGGGAGAATGCGGCGCTGGGAGCGCAGCGACTCTCCCGCCGCGGGTTCGGATCCTACATAGAAATGGCTGGTGCGCTCACTGGCTGAGCGCGGTGTGGGCGACACTACACCAAGGGTTGCAATCCCCTTACCGGTCACGAAAAAGACAAAAAAAAAAAAGATAAAGGAAATAACATTCGAAGGAGCTTATCTCTCTGCAATGCTGATGTAATTTTAAATCATATTAGCTATAGCTTTTCACCATTAACCATGCACTTGTTTTTCCTTCATCTGACTCAGCATCCAGATACAACATTGTCTTTAATGTTTAAGATTCCCAGCGAATGTAGAGGAGAAACTGGCTGTTAAAAAACAGTATGAGAGTCAATTAAGGACAGTCTGAGGGAAGCTAAGGGGAGGGAATTCTGCAAGCAGATTACTGAGAGAATACAATTATCACAATACATTTATTATTGTAAAAAATTTACAAGCATTCACTTGAAAATATTCTTGATTCTCAGGCAGCTCTGGGCATGTTTTCCCCATCAAATGGAGATACATCTCAGTGCAACTTGGGTCAAACTACTTTTACTTATTAAATCTCAAGAAGTTTAGGGGCTTAGAGGAGAAGTCCTGGTATTCGTGTTGTTGCCGGAGTTCTGAAGTCCTACATTCTATATTGCAAAGGAGGATCTTTGTCCCTTACCCTTATGCTTGGGCAAAAACATTGGGTGGGCAATTAATAAAAGCCTACTGTTAAAGAAGAGAGGGTGTTTGGGAGAATTCTGCACACCGATAGTTCCTTCCCTGGGCACACTGACTTACGCATTTCTCTTCCATGTGATTGGCTACCTAAGAACTGCTATCTCCAGCAAATCTTCTAGATGTCTGCCGTATCTGGAGTCCTTTCTCATTTTTCTCTCCCATTGCCACATCCTCCTATATCTACTTTAAGCCTAGCAGGGACTTGTACACTACACTTCCCACACTCCCCCCTGTGCTGAATATTACTACCCCCTCCTAGACCCTTCATCCCTAACACACATGTTGTGCTCCCTTGTGCTGCCACTGCATCCTACATCTTCCCCTAGTTCCCAGAACAAGGACACTTGGAAGTTCATGGCATTTCAATTTCTTCTCTTGACATTCATGTTTACTGTCAAAAGCAGAATCTTAAGCCTTTGCTTTAGTATACTGTATAAGCCAATATTTCTTGTGTCTTATGGTAAGTTCTGGATGTATGTGTGTTTACTTTCTTCCATTTTTTGTATGCATGTTTTCTTTTTATCATTTATTAATGATTGTAAGTTAAATGCAATTTTCTATCCAAATTTTTATTGTTCTCTTAGGTATTTTTTCTGATTAAAAAAATAATTAGGTAATCACTGACAAATGTGGTGTTTATTCTTCCAGGTTTTTTCCCATAGGAATATATACTAATAAAGAAGCGTTGGATGATCATTACATAATGTATTATGAATCTGCTTCCCCTCCTAATGTATTGTGAATGCCTTTCTATGATATTAAGTGTTTTTCTACCTGATCATCTTAATGAATGATTTGGCTGTACTGTAATTCATTTAATCACTTTCTCATAGTTGAAAATGTAGATTGCCTTCATTTTTTCATGACTGTAAATAGTTCTTCAATACATATCCCTTTAAAAGCTAAATCTTAGCACATTTTCTACTCCCTACTTAAGTGCACAAATGCAAATAAATTACCTTCCAGAAAAGATGTACTAATTTACTTTCCTGGTACTAAAGTATAAAAATTCAGTCCTTATT